AAAAAAATCTTGAAAAAATTTTTTATAAATATTTTGAATTTGCAGCACTTTACTGCCTTTTAAAATTCAGCTCTACTATATCAGGTATTTGCTGATTCGATCTAAAATAGAAATACGGTGTTTGACTAAGATGTGCTACGTTATAAGAAAAAGTAGTTGTGGGTGTGCATGTAAGTGTAAGAGTTGGGTGAAGAAAGGAAGTATATCTACATCCACGCCTCATACCGACACTCTACATCCACCGCACCCAAATTGTTCGAAATCATTGTTAAATAGCTGTTTAGATATTTTAAAAAATTGGTAAAAATTAAGACGTTATTATAAATATTGCCTTCTTTTTCACTTAAAACTCAGGATTTGCTTCTCGTTGTTAAGCAAACTAGAAAAAAAAAAAGAATTAACGATATGATCGCGTTTTAGCCAACAGTTAGTCGGAGAATCTAGATGCCATTTGCAAAATTATCGAGCGTCTACAATTTTATATTATCATTCCCAAAATTTTATGACCACACCCATACCCACATCCAACTTCATTCGAGATCATTTCGTTCAGTTATAGCATTCAATTTCAGAAGTAATATTTATTTGTCAATACGGAAAATCTGAAATAAGCTTTTAGATAATGATGTTGCCCGAAAAGATTTTCTTTTCTTTCAAATAGCTAGACAAAAAATCTTTTCTTATCATTTTCACTTATCTTCATAAATATTTAAAGTAATTACTTGTACTTGATCTCCGTCAAAATGTCATTTAATTTGACTTTGAATCATCATTTAAATTACTCATTATCATTTCAAAATCTTTAAAAAGAGCATGTAAACAATTTAAAACGAATAAATCTTATGTTTACTGTGTACCAACAAAATGTAGAGGCTTCAATAAAACAAGTATCCATACTAGTTGAATGAAATGAATAACAATTGGAATTTTTACTGCATAACTAAGTGTAAGTGATGAAAACACTGGATAAAAACACGTTTTGAATGATTGAAATAGCTATATGGTCCATTGGTGCAATATTGATTTGATTTTATATATCTATCATGACCTGCAATAGCCAATTCATGAAGAATACTTTTCATAAGACAAATAAGGATAAATGCAGCCGTATATAAAGTAGAAAAATATTCTAAATGTAATATAGGTGTCGAGCCTAACATGATTATTATACATACATAATTATCTTTCATCATCGATGAAGGCAGCCATAATTTATATATTTAACTAATCAATATTTATCATCTACTGAACGTACTCCATATAAAATTGAATTTGGTGTTATTACAGTAGTTAAAAATAGTCAAATATTCGTTTACAGTATTTTAACTTTACCAAAATTTACAGACCATTACTAACTAGTATGTTGTTACCAATTACTTCAGTCTAAAACTTTTTTTCTCAGGCTGTTCTATTTCAGCTTAACTATTTATATTACATGTATCAGAATATACATGTTACGCATGATTTTGAGGGCCATATCGACAAAATTGATCTAAATAAATACGAAAATTAATCTCATGAAAGAATATCTAATACTTCCTGTAGTTAATCCCCTACCAGAGCTACTTATGAATACAATATCATCTTGAATATTTTTTTCTATTGTTGAAAACATATAATGACTAACAATCTGTATAATAGCATGCACTATTTCATTAATGAAGACTAAATAATACTTAAATAGTGTTACGTAAAACCATATTAATTATTTCAACCATTTCTATTGAAAGATAATTATGTCAAGACAGTGAAGATGAAGTTCAAATCTAGTTGAAAAGATAATTAGGCTTGGAATCATCTCGAATTCTGAATTATTTTGCTTATTTAGAATTTCAATACAGATTTGTATTGCCTTTAAGAAAGTGTTATGATTTTTAAAGATGAGCAATAGTATTTCGTTCTATTAAAACGTCAAATTAATGTCATATTTCACTGAGGAAAAAATGAAATTTTTTTTTAATGAAAGGACGTTCTACAAAAGCTAGCTCGACACTTTAAACTAAATATTTCAAGTTGATTTTTCACTCACTTTTTCCGAATTGTATACAAAAATGTCGTATCTCGAATGAGTACCTTTCCCAATCGATCTAATTCTGATACAGATTCCACTTTCTCACAAACTCGGTCAACGTAGGAGACATAAAATTAACGAAAATAATTCGTAATGATTATGATTGGTTCAAGTGATATCATATTTCACGAATAGAATTATCTACCAGTGACGATAACGATCTCAAGTTTTCAATAAAGTGTATTCATTTGTATATCCAACAATAGAAACTTTCAATTAATTTTCCTACTTATTTGATTGGCACTCAACTTCATTTTACATAATTGTACAAGTAAAAATTTGGATTTCATTGTTGACTAAATTGAAGCAATTATTTTATTGATTTTAAAATAAACATAATTAAAATGAATTTCTCTGTGATATTTTATGCGCAATATAAATCAATTATTTTTTACAATATTGTTAAATTATTCTTGAGTTTTTTTCCTCTTATATTCAAACACGAATAAAAGAAATTTTGTTTCTTTTTATTCATTGATTTAAACCGAATGAGTCATATTTGCTTGAAAAGAATGAGTCATCATAAATTTATTCTTTCTGTCATACGTCTCTCATTCATTCATCGCCGTATTTTGCCGTGTAACGATGTATATAAACGACGTGAATCGAAATAAACAGACTCATACTTACTTTCCTCTGATTGTCTCAGTGATCATCAATACTGAGCATCCAGGACGAGGTTTCGGCATTGCACTAAGCTGTAAACTAAATCCTGCTTTCGCTCCACATCGGGGCGAAGAGAGAGGTTAATTTGTTAGCAGTGTCTCTGCGTTCGCGCTCAGACCGTTTATTAGGTCAAGAAAAAAAAGTAAAATTCATGTAAAATTTATTTTCAACTCAGCAGGACTTTATTTCATCGATGTAATTGTCATTTTTCTTTCTTGTTTTTTTTTCTTCACATCATGACAACAACAACAACACTAGTAAATGCTGCCGAAACTTCTCCTGTTTCACCATCTTTATTCAATATTCAGTATCCAAATTGTCGTAGAGGCATGTTTAGTCTTCGTGAACCATTTCAAAATGTAAAAACAGAGTTTGTTCCTACTGAAAAAAAACAATTATCCAATGAAACTTTAACAACACCAGGTCTACAACCAACTAATTTCAATGCTAATCAAGGTTATTATTTATTTTTTCTCTTATTTGAATTATTGATTTGTATTTTAGTGCCATTAATACACGAAAAACCTATTGAACCTGTATCTATACCACCTCGAAAACTATCAAAACGAAATGCTGAAGTTCAATGTTCACTTTTAAAGCCAACTGTTTACCATGATATGGCTGTTCAAACAAAAAATCAACGACAACCAATTGCAGTAAATGATTTCAATGATAATAACGATATCAGCCCTCGATATCGGCGACAAAAAAAATTACAACCCATTGAACAACCGCAAAAAATTTATGAAATTTGGGATATCGAATCGCCGTCCTTACGAACAATACCAATAAAGCAAACAAGAAGACCTGAAGAACAACAAATAAGATATGTCAAAACTAGAAAACCAATCATAGATTATGATGATGATGATGATGATGATGATAATAATGATGACGACGAAGGAGAATTCGATGATGATGATGAAGAACGAATTATATATGCACGTCAACCTCGACAAGCAAATAAAAAATCATATTTACCACCAAATGTACGCATGATTTGTGTTCGAGAAGACACAAAAAGAGTTTTTTAATTAACAAAAATTTTTTGTAAAAAAATTATTTTACAGGTGATTCTTTTTTTCTATGTGTAGTTATCTCATTCTCAGAAAACAATTGCAAGAGAAGTTAGATTCATGTTTCTGGATTTTAAGAGTTAAATTGCTTTTTCATTAATAAATGCATTGTCTATAAATTATCAAAGTTTAATATTTTTAAAAAGTAAAAGATTGTTCTTTTTCAGCCAGCAAATAAAAAAAGAAAGATAAATATATTCATCAAAGTGACGATAATACTATGCTTGTTGTACAGCATGTTCAATGACGTCATACAAAATTTACATATATGAAAAGATCGGAATTTTTAAAATAAGATAAGGATTTGACTTTGAAAAATCATTTATTATTAAGTTTTAATTCAACATACATTGTGATTTTCAGACCGATGAAAATATTTATAATTACCAAAAGAAGTTATATTAAGGAGAATTTTCTAAGATTTTTTCTCCATTCTTTCTATTCATTTCAAAATATCAGCAAAAAAATTATAAATAAACTTGTGATTATCCCTCTTATCGATCAGTTGTATTATGAAATAAATCAAACACTTTATAGTCTTATATCTGTCTACTATTCAAACTACTAATTTCCATTAACATCGATATTCTTAATTGAATTTGAAATTCATCGAAACGAAGCTTGACAATACCATAATCGACATTTTTTAATAAAATTTGTCGAATTCGACAAATTGGGATTTAAATTTTGTCGAATCGACAAATTTTTTTTTCGACGAATTTTATCGACAAATTTGCAATCGACATTTTTTGTATTCGACAAAATTGTAGGCACTCAAACCATTCACCTATTTGCACACTTGACGATGTCTATTTTGTTTAACTCTTCCATCGAATTGATCTTTGCTTTAGATTCATTTGTCATTATGCTTGAATATTTGATCTTAAAATCTGAGACACACTTTTATTTAGTTTTTTTAGACTAATCAGATGTCGTTTATGACTAAAGAATATATCAACGTTGTCTTTTATTATATTTTCAATTCTATTTCATTACAAAACACTTGTTTTGTACTGCCATTATTATCAATCATTATCATTCTTGAAATTCTCGATTATAAAATAATAGAGTTCAAAAATAAGCCAACAATCGATTGTTACAATTGATCAATGTTGCCAAAACCTTTTTCTAAAGTAGTTACAATCAACTACATATTTTGTTATTGTCTATACTTTCAAACAAAGAAAGTTTGTCTTCTGATGTTTCATAAGAAGAAAGAGACATCATGAAGCTAGAAGATAAATAGTAAAATCGTATGAAAAATAGTTGTCAGAAAAAGTTAAGTTCGATACAAATATATCTTCTATCCAAGGTCACATAAGAACGATCGTCGCAAGTTGAACAAGTTGAAAAACTATCATAATTGTTTGATAGCATCAATACACTGAAATAATAATATGATTGATTAATACAAAGAAATCATCATCTTTTTCTTTGAAGGGAACGATTTTGTTGTTTTCAATCGAGTCTTATTTTTAAAGCGTATCTCATGATACCTTGAGAATACTGTAGATACAAAAATATCTACGGTACAAACAGATTGCAGACTTTTTCAATATATTTATATATCAAAAGTTCTCATTTTTTTGAGATTTTATGATCGTAATCGAAGTCAACAACAGATAATATTGAAATTTATTCTCATGTTTTTTTTGTCTATCTTTCTCCTTCTCTCTTACATTTACTTTTGACTTTTCGCCCGAATAAGATAAAAGAACGTTATGCTTATATAATGTCAACATATTATTATTATTGAATGTAATCAATAAAATATTTTTATTCAGATAAATTTTTCAAAAGTAGAACAATTTTATATTCATGAATATTGTTCATAAATGGTTTTATTTCTGAATTTCATGATTGATATTCGTAGCTATTATTTATTGATAAGTTTCATATTAACGATTTTACAATTCATTATTTTTGGTTTACGACTTTGTCAAACATAATATAGTATAAGCGAGGGTTATTAACAGAGGAGACGATGGAAAAAATCAGTTTTTTCCTCTTCATATATAACTATCATAAATGATGTTGTTCTTTGTGAATAAAATCATGTGAATCAATTCTTATTTCTTTTTCATTGTTGTTTTGTTTCGTCGACTGTTTGCTGAAAGAGAGTAGACTAAATGAAATCGGATGTTTTATAAAAACTAACTATTGTTAAACAAGAGACAAAAATAAGGTAAGTACATGAAAAGCTTTTACACTTGTTAATAGTGATTATACAGGAAATGTGAAGTGGCATTTAATTTATATTGTATATGAATTTTCTTTCATGATAAAAATCATTTTGTCAAACTTAAATAAAATCAGAGATGATCATCAAGAAAATCTTGTGAATTCGAAGATAAAATTATATCCTGATTAAATTGACCAAATCATGAGTGCGCTCTTCTTTTTCTAGGTTAGTTGCTTTTTTTTTTATTGGTTTATATGTCAAAAGAGAACGTGAAGTGTACTTCAAAAAACTATGTTATGGGCACATTGATTTTATCGAATAGGTACAAAACGAGTAGATCAGAGAAATGATAATGGGATCGATTCAGTTCTTTTTCTTTCTTTGAAATACTAACTGGAGATAAGATACGAATAAAATAATAGGTTTCTCCTCTAATTTTGATACTAAATGATGAAAACGAGTCTATCTATCCTAATAGAAATCAGCGTGTTTTAAACTATCGAATATTTTATTATTAGTCTATTAAAGATGCTTGATTGAATGTTCTTCTTCAACAATACTGAGTACAAGGTTATTGCTTAGGTATCTTGCAAACAATGTAGTCATTGAAGTAGAATTTCATGATGATAATTTTCCAGTACTTTAGGGTCGTTTTTTTCTATCTATCTATATTTATTTATATATTGTTAACGAACAGGATATTAGAACTCATATATTGATAGAGTGCATCGTCTTGCTAATGTTGAATTTAATCCTATCTAGGCATACCATAAATTCATCGATTTATTTAATTTCCTGTCTTCTTGTCTAATCTTTGTTATGATTTTTTTTTTCTTCGTTTTTTTCGAGTTTTAACATCCTACGTAACGCTCAACCTGATGTGTGCGTTTATGGAGAGATTTGCACATAAATAATGCGAAGCAGTAAGTGGAATTTACAGAAAATGTCCAATCGAGGATAAAATCTTGAATTAAAAGAAAAGATGAAAGAAAGAAATTGATTGTTAGTGTAATCGAATCGTTGTAAAGAAGTAAATAGAAAGGGAAAGATCTTGATCAATACTATCAATATAATTAAACAAAAGAAAGAGATGCCAAGATTCTCATCTTTCGTTTCTTCTATCTTTTGTTATTGTTCAAATATTAATTTATATTTTTCAATGATTTATCTAATATATTAATTCTTAATACTCGAAAAATACATCATCGATGAATTAAAAATCATGATGATAAACAATAAAAAAAAAAAATTAAAATTATTGTTAGTGTTGTTTCAGTGATGTGTGTCGGTATTGTTGTTTCGGTCGAATCTAATGCAATTCTTTATCTCATAATATTATTCAGATTTTTCTATAGATCATGACTACGGGCTCCACTGAATAATCATCGCTATATGTCAACAAATAACAATACGATCTGCTTGCCCTTTCTTTTATTATCTTCTTCTTTCTCTATCAATCTCAGCAAAAGAAATATAGATAGGAGAACAATGTGACTGACAATCATATCGCTTAGATTAAGATTATGTGTTGTTTAGAATTCAATTATTACTTGTCTAAAAATAATATTTGTTTGTTCATGTTACTGGTATAGACGCCAATCTGTCTTCTTCAATTATATTGGTTTGATCCGAAGAACATATTCTTATATTTGTCTGTACTAAACCAAATCGATCAATCATATTCTTATTCTTGAGTAATCATGCTGATCTTGTCCTGTCTATCAGTCGTTGTAAGTCATTATCAATGCTAAAAAAAATATAGAATGCTTGCTTCTATACTTTCTTTTTTATGTTGATTTTGGGAAAATATCACTAGTGCACAGCCAAATATAGCACAAAATCAACATTCGCTTTTCACCGTTTTTCTCTCCTCGCGTTACTTTATGCAAGCTGTATGTGTGTCTATAAGCGTCCGTCCGTTGATTTCCTTTTTCCGATTAAAATTCTACAAGTTGCTGAGAAGCTCACTTGATTTGATTACTTTGCCTTGTTTTCTTGTTCTGTTTATGTTTTGAGGATCAATCAGTTAGCAATTCACCTTTGGCAAAGTTCTATTTTATCATATAACTCGCCCTTTTTTCTTGATGCATAATATGTTTATATACGTGTATTCATATCCGATGCGTATTCATTATATAGCATCATATACATAACGAGATTCTTGGACTAGATGCATTGTGTTTTTCACAACGGGTGAATTATCAATGACGTTGACGATAGGCTGTATATATGTGAAAGAAAGAAGAAAACAATATTTACCTTATCAATGGCCCGTTCTCATCATTTGCTGCTCTTTTTCCTCTCTATTTATAGATGATGCTTTGATACCGTCACTATCTCTATCTTCAGTATGGTTTTCACGGGTAAGATTTACTCATATATATATATATATATGAATATGCAATCATGCATTTCAATTATATAACCAAAAAAAAGAGACGAAGAAATGGACGACCAGATGTTCGTATGTTTTATCGCTTTATTTCTCTCCCTTACTACATTGACACAAATATCATATTTACTGATCTGCACAGGATTGATCTAGGATCAATGATTGACTTAGTTTTAATGATGTCAGATTCGATGATTGATTGGCTTATCAATGAGGCAACATCGTCTAAACATAATGACATCAAGAAATGGAACGTGTGAGATCAAATGAGATAGTGATATACCATTTCCAATATACAACGTTGGTATTTATGATAGATGTAAAAAAACTTCATCTTATATCCGACTTTCTTGTTCTCTAAATATCAATCATGTAAACGAGCTA